TTCCTAAAAAACTTGTAGTAATATCTCTCATCCTATCAATGCAAAGCCAGCAAGAGGCTAAAGGATGGAGAGAAGGGTCATTCCCTTATTATGATTTGCTTAACATAATCATCAATGAGGAAGTTGTCGAAAGAAGTAGTGCTAGGATGCCATTCATGTTAGGGCAAAAGAGTTGATAAGAAAGCCAAGGCCCTGATGGACGTGATTATATATAAATGAGAGATATATGTATCGATATAGATGAGGTGCCAGATGAGGAGGAGGATGTACTTGAAACACTGATGCACTCATGTGCATCTGACAGAGTGCCCAAGATTGTAGTTGCAAGGCCAAAGAAAAAGAGAGCACTATCTGACTCCATTGATAATATGGCGGAGGCTCTGTTCAAAATAAGTCAAATCATAGATAAATGAATGACAAATCCAGACCTTACACCCAGGGTCAAGATGGATATAGCAATAGATATTACATACCATACAAATAAAACTACTATATTCTTGAAAATTAGTGAAGAAGACATAATTGAGTACATCTTGGATGTGTACGTTATGCATTGTAGTTCAACATATCCATAGATGTAACTTTTTCCTCCTCTCTCTATTTCTTAATGCTTTCTAATGCAAGTACTCTTATGAGTATTTTATGGGTTATTATGGAATTAAAATGTGCAATCACTATATGTGAACTCTTTTTTGGACAAGCTAATTGATGATGTGCTATTTGTGCACGGTTTTTTAAATGCAAGTTTGTTGAATGTTATTTACCTTGCTTAGATAATGTGGTATTGGACAAGTACCTTGATGGATGTGTACTTGTTTGCTGAATGTTGGTTATTGGACAAGTACCTTGAAGAAATAAGGTATTGGGATTCCATGACAAAACTTTGTTCTAGAGCATGGTAGAAATGGATGCTATGAACCTGCGAAAGAAGGATTTGAGAGAAATATGCAGCATCATGTGTGAGGAGTGTGGATGCGTATTACGCATAGAGACGTTAAAAAACAAAGTTAAATGTTTGAGGTATAAGTAGAATAATGTCAAATAACTCCTTCATCAGCATGGTTTCCAATTTAATAAAGGTACATAGAGCATAATTGGGCCCGATTGAGATGAGTATGTTCAGGTAATTTTTAAAATACAAGTGCACTTTTTTTTTATAAAAAAACCACATGCTGGGACAACTATTAAACCTTTACAAATTGCATGTGCATAGGGTCATAATGCAAAGGGGAGGTCATTCGATTTTGTTTTACCTCCCATGCAACTCATGGTCATAGAGGACATGGTATAGTGCAACATATGTAACAATTTAATTTTATTATGATCAAAACCTATGAGGAGTCTAATTTTGGATTTCTAGGGGATTTTGCATTTAACTTCTTCATTATCGACTGAGATGTAGTGTTATGGATATATTGCAATTTGTTTTATCATATTGTATTATTCATTTATCGTGGATCACAAGATGCAATGGTATGCTTCACTATCTACTTGAATATGTTGTTATTTTTGTCGCAGCATGAAAATTAAATAATTTTCCTAATTTTACAACAGTTGAGTTCCAGATGTGCCAAATGCTGGTTACAAGCGGCTCCATGTGAGTTGATTATGGATTTACCATTTTAAGAAGGCCATAAGGTGTATACATGTTAGAATTTGAATATGGGACCATAAGGTCTATACCATTTTATTACTTTGAAATGTGCTACGAATAGTGTACCATTGTTTTTTATAACAATAGTGTTCCACACAATGAATATAATTACATGCACTTAGTTCATATGTATAGATTGCTCAATACTGCTGATGATGCCACAAGTGTATGTTGTGTATGTTTGCTGCAACCCCGGGGTGTATATGACGTGGGTTGAATGCTCTAGACAAGTGCTAGGCTACTCAAATACCCTGCATTGTTCCTACTCTACCATAGAGGAGGAAAAACAATGATTTTGAGATTTTGCGCCATGTACGTGTAGTTATTCTTACAAGGGTCGTGTAGTTGTTCATACAACTGGGAGTGCACTGAAGAAAACTACATTCGCAGCGATGCTTATATGTATATGTACGTTATCATATTGTATTTTTCATTTATTGTGAATTATTGTGTATTACTACTCTAAGAGAAACTAAAACATGTCTCCCTATCTTATTTTTTTACTATATATGTGAGCACTTGGTTGCATGGTTATTCGATATTTTTTTTAAGTTTATTGTGCGAAATAGATGTGAATGGAACAATACTTTATTGCATTGCTTATGTGAATTAAAAATGTAGACATACCATTGATTTTTTATTTTTTTGGAATTCAATTTTACAACATTAATGAAGACACAAATATCTCTTCGTCCCCTATTTTTAACTTTCATATCTTATTAGACCCAAAAATTTAAAATATTACTTGTAAGCAAAAGTTCTTCATCGTTTATATCTTACAACCCCTGGACCCCTTTAACCATAAATTTTTTACCCAAATAAACACTAAAATGACACCTATTCAAACTCCATCTCTCTCTCTCTCTCTAAAACTCCATCTCTGTCTCTTCGCTTCTCAGTGAGTTTACCAGCTAAGGGGTTTAGCTTGAGTCTAAAACACGAGCACACATTTTATGTATGAGAGAGAGAGAGATAGAGTTTAGAGAAGAGAGATAGAGTTTGAGTTTTAGGAAGAGAGATGGAGTTAGTAGAGAGAGAGAGAGAGAGAGAGATGGAGTTTGGGTTTTAAGGAGAGATGAAGTTTTGAGAGAGAGAGAGATGGAGTTTTAGAGAGAGAGAGATATAAAATCATTTCATAAGTTGTTGAGGTCAATAATACACGGTCAAAAGGGTTTAGAGGGTTGGAAGATAGAAAAGATGGAGTCTTTTTGCTTACAAGTAATATTTCTAATTCTTGAATCTGATGAGATATATAAGTTAAAAATAAGGAATAATAGGATATTTTTCCTTTTATATTAAGGGTGCAGTTGGTATATGGATGCATCCGTAGCTGTAGGGGTAAGATGCACCTTCAAATTTTATCATGGTATATAATTTTGATGTAAACTGTTATTAGGATTATCTCAAAATCTATTTTTATATCTAATTATAAAATTTTAAATTTCAAACATGGTTAAAATCAAGTAGATCTATAAACATGTGAAAGTTTTGAAAATGGACGATATAGATAATATGTTGTAAAATACACTATTTCTGAAACTTAAAATCTTTTTATGTTTCATGGTTATACATCTCGATGTCGAGATGATCAATCAAAGGGTTTTGCATCATTAAAAC